CCACCCATGCCCGCACCGCGAACCGACCCGTAAAGGAAAAGAGGCCGGGCCGAGATACGAGGGTGATCTTCCTCGATTCCAGGAACCGCTATAGTTGGGGGAGATAGCACTATGCGGGCAGATAATTCGAGGGTGTTTTTGCGTTGTGTGTTGTGTGAAGAGAGCAGAATGCGCAAAGAGAGGGACCTACCAAGATGAAGCCGCTGACCGTTATGAGATACCAGAGAACATCCTCCTTCCGTTGGAATTTGGGGTTCCCGGACTCAATCTGGCTGAGATACTGGTAGACGAAGTAGGGATCCAAGATGATGCCCAGCTGGGGACCACTCAACAGAAAGGTGGTGAGGAACCGCCAAATTTGAGGTGGCATATGGAAGATGGCCAGCGAGGAGTGGAAGAACAACCAGCCCGTTGGGATCAATCCCAGATGCCCTCCAATCGACGTGACGAAGATGGCGGTCGCGAGTGTTCGCGCCAATGGCTGTAACTGCCAGTAGGCATCCATCGCGTCCGACATGGTGGCGGTGGTGTGGTGTGTGAGAAGTGATGTGTGAACAAAGAAAAGAAGAGCGACTTCAAATTTTCAAATGAAGCTCTCCGGGTCGTAAACTCAAAAAGCAAGGGGCATGATCTGCAGGTGGTGGGGGAGGGAGGAGGTTGTGAATGGGAAGAGGGAGGAGAAAGGAAAGAAAGCCCCCAGCGGGCTGGGAAAGTGATGATGCGGCTCCAACAAGGCACGAAATGTGATTCGTGTCTTTTTTGGAGCTTGAGAGGGAATGGAAGATGGAGGAAAGTTGCACCAATCTGAAATCCTTTTATGGAGGTCGTTGGCTTTGGTGGGGAACGAGAGCTGGAGCCACAGCCCGGCCCGGCTCGGCACCCGTTTGGTGGGGGCCCAGCCACGTGGAGGGCGCTGTGGCTAGAGCACTGAAGCGACGGTGCAGTTATCGATAAACATTTTCCAGACCGGAGCTCTGGTCGTCAGGGTCTTGAAAGAGTGACTCAATTGAGGGGTGGTATAAGAGATTTTCATGGCTGCTGTCCAAAACTCAGAGTATCTCATTGTTTTTCTCAACTATCTTATGTTTCTGGTGTTATACTAGAGACTGGCATCATCGTTCTTGCGGCAATTCCATCTTGTTGTGCTGTCTGGACCCAGCTCCGGTACCGCCGCCCTAGATATTTTCCAAACCTCGGCGGTGGGCTCTCACTGCTTTGATAAGATCTCACGCAACCCCATCGACCACAGGTGCCCGGCTCTTCACATCCCCCCTCCGTACCCCTTCATTTTGAAACCGGAAACAGTCATGGTGGGCTTCAGTCGATGTGCGTTGAGCCAATTGAGGCAACCTAAAGCTCAATTGGTTCGGTCCTTTTCTCACATCCCATCCCGAGCTTATTCTGCCCCGTCCAGCTCCATCCCCGCGGCCAAGAAGAAGTACATCCCAACCTCAGGCACATACCCCCTCGGCTTCCAGGTGTCAGGCACCATCGTTGGAGTTAAGCCCAGCAACACAACAAAACCAGATCTCGCTCTCTTGACATCCGAAGTACCATGTGCTGCCGCCGCCGTCTTCACCAAGAACAAGTTTCAGGCCGCCCCCGTCACTTTCAGCCGTGCTCTGTTGCAAAAGAAGGGAAATAAGGGCATCCAGGGGGTGGTCATCAACTCGGGATGCGCCAATGCCGTCACTGGAAAGGGTGGTTTGGAGGATGCCGCCAAGATGGCTCAGGCGGCTGACAAGTGCCTCGGTCAGAGTGATAGCATCATTGTCATGAGCACTGGTGTCATCGGACAGAGGCTGCCCATCGACAAGATCATCAACAACGTGCCAAAGGCCCACAGTGCTTTGGGCGGGTCCCACGAGCACTGGCTCACCATGGCCAAGGCCATCTGCACCACTGATACCTTCCCCAAGCTCATCTCCCGCACTTTTACTTTGCCCTCCTCGCCAGGCGTGGAGTATAGGATAGCGGGTACCACCAAGGGAGCGGGCATGATTCACCCCAACATGGCCACCCTTTTGGGTGTTATTGCCACGGATGCCCCTATCTCGTCGTCGGCTCTTCCATCGGTTCTCAAGCACGCCGTCGACCGTTCCTTCAACAGCATCACCATTGACGGTGACACGTCGACCAACGACACTGTTGCGCTGTTGGCCAACGGTATGGCTGGAGGAAAGGAGGTAGTGGAGGGCACACCTGATTATGAGGCCTTCCGTGAGGTTCTCACCAAGTTCTCTACAGAGTTGGCGCAGTTGATTGTGCGTGATGGTGAGGGTGCTACCAAGTTTGTGACAATCAAGGTGGTGGATTCCGCTAGCGAGGAGGCTGCTCGGAAGATTGCGAGCACCATTGCGAGATCGCCACTTGTCAAGACTGCCTTGTATGGCAAGGACGCAAACTGGTACGTTTCCTCGGTCTGTTTGGAATGTGACGACGAGACTTGACAAACATTGATAGGGGCCGCATTCTGTGCGCCACCGGCTACTCCCTGATTTCCGAGCCTAGCGAGCCCATCAACGATGTTCCTGAGATTGTCCCTGAGAATACTAATGTCTCGTTCGTGCCCACTGATGGCACTGCTGAGCTCAAGCTGTTGGTGAACGGAGAGCCTGAGCAGGTTGATGAGGTGAGTTGAGTGAGTTCATGAATTGGGAAGGGCTCACTAACAATTTACAGGCGAGAGCTGCTGAGATTTTGGAGCTCGAGGATCTTGAGATTTTGGTCAGGCTCGGAACTGGCGACAAGCAAGCCACTTACTGGACCTGCGACTACAGTCATGAGTACATGTGAGTTTCCCTTGTCTTCTCAGGCACTGATATCAGCTGACCTGGATAGCACCATCAACGGTGACTACCGCACATAAATGCAAGAACCTAGACATCTGGAAATCTAGACCTATACCATATAATGTAAATAAATGAGAATGAACATACCGTGACTGCTTCCAAGATCTATTGTCCATTGTTGCTGCCTGGTGGTGAACTAAGGGGTCAAGGGTTAGGGTTTACCTGCGTCTTGAAAAACCACTTTAAGCTAACGCGGTTCAAACGCGTCGCGTCTCCCAATCAGCAATTCGATCCCACAGCTGGCTTCAACCTCCAAAAGTCGAACGTCGCCGACAACCCTTGACTTTTCAGCACAAATCACCTGCTACACAACTGCCGAAAAACTCAAGAGCTCACCGAAAGTCCAGCAAGTCGAGACCAACAAAAATACCACAGCCAAAATGCCAGCCGCAATGACAAAAAAGCCGGAAGCCAACGGCGAGTCCTCCACCGCAGCCTACAAAGCCCAGACAGCCAACCCCAGTGGCAACCCAACCTACGAGCTCCCATGGTATGTCTCCGAATTCTCCCTTCTCTATTCTTCCAAATGGCTAACATGCTAACCCCCCAGGGTCGAAAAATACCGCCCCGTTTTCCTCGACGACGTAGTAGGCAACACCGAAACCATCGAGCGCCTCAAGATCATCGCCCGCGACGGCAACATGCCCCACGTAATCATCTCTGGCATGCCCGGCATTGGCAAGACCACCTCCGTCTTGTGTCTAGCCCGCCAACTCCTCGGGGACGCCTACAAAGAAGCCGTGCTTGAACTCAACGCCTCTGACGAGAGAGGTATTGATGTTGTGAGGCAGCGTATCAAGGGGTTTGCACAGAAGAAGGTGACCCTCCCGCAAGGGAGACATAAACTTGTCATCTTGGACGAAGCGGATAGCATGACGAGCGGTGCCCAGCAGGCGTTGAGACGGACGATGGAGATTTACAGCAATACGACGAGGTTCGCCTTCGCCTGCAACCAAAGCAACAAAATCATCGAACCCCTCCAGTCGCGCTGCGCCATTCTCCGCTATGCGAAATTAACAGACGAGCAAGTCGTCAAACGCCTCTTGCAAATCATCGATGCGGAGGGTGTCAAGTTCAGCGAGGATGGGCTCGCGGCGTTGGTGTTTAGTGCGGAAGGGGATATGCGCCAGGCGATCAACAACCTGCAGTCGACGTGGGCTGGGTTCGGGTTTGTCTCGGGGGACAATGTCTTCAAGGTTGTCGACAGTCCTCACCCGATCAAAGTGCAGGCTATGCTCAAGGCTTGTTATGAGGGGAATGTGGACTCGGCGCTTGACACGTTGAGGGAGCTGTGGGATTTGGGGTACAGCAGTCATGATATTATCTCGACGATGTTTAGGGTGACCAAGACAATCGAGACGTTGAGCGAGCATAGCAAGTTGGAGTTTATCAAGGAGATTGGGTTTACGCATATGAAGGTTTTGGAGGGGGTGCAGACGTTGCTGCAGTTGAGTGGATGTGTGGTGAGGTTGTGTAGGTTGAATATGGATCCGAAGAGGTTTGAGCGTAGGTAGGGGAGGTAGATAGATACCCGAGATTTATTTGTTCCATGGAGTTTTGGGGCGTGGAAAATTTGGCGCACGGCAAGGGGGGCATGTTTGGTGGGTGGTTTTATTACACTTGATGTACCTACTTTGGAAGGCGAACAAAATGGGATGATGTGTAATTTTGTAAGTACAGGTGTACAACCTGAGCAGACAACAACAACAACCTCCTTCTTTTCACTTTATAAATGTCAACAAGCAAGTGTATTGTTTGCTAAAACAATATCTCAAGGCAACTAATTATCATTATTCCCAGCCCCGACAATCCCCCCCAGCGAAGACATTACCACCCCCTTCCCCCAAAGCCATTCCCCCCCCCCAAAAAAAATCAAGTACAAACCGTCTCATGCACCACCTCCCCCCTCGAATCCCCAAACCTGACCTCCACCAGGTCTAGGTCCCTCTCAGCAACACCATCCCACCCGAACCAAGCCATCCCCCGTCCCCTCTCGCAAACCGTCATCACGGCCGAGTCTGTATCTGCTTTGTATCCCCACCCAACACTGAACTTCCCATCCTTGTCACAGCGCTGTCCGTACCAGCTGTGGGTTGGCTCTACGGACGGGATTGAGATGCTGCAGTTTGCTAGCTGGAGGGTGGTGCTGGAGTAAAGGGAGAAGGTGAACAGGGTTCGGTTGAGGAGGTGGTTGGTTACTGCGAACAAGCAACAGGGTTAGCTTAGGGGGAGGAAACTTGGGGGTGGGAGGGTTTACGGCGGGTGAGGGAATGGATTTGCCATGTTTCTGGGTTGTCGTTACGGGTGCCGAGGCGGTGTCTCTCCTGGCCTTTGTTGATCTTTGGCCCGTGAAGCTGCTGACGACAAGTCTCGACACACGCAAGAGCGTCGTAGTCATCCCCGCTAGGCTGGCAGTTTTGGCTGCAGGTGTCGATCTCGGAAGAGGATTGTTGCTGCTGGCTGGAGGCATACGTCACCGAGATGTGCTTTCGCAGTTGATCACTCATGGTTATATCCCGCCTCTTTTCCTTTGTCGGTTTGGATGATGACAAGGAGCCGCCGTGCTGCTGGACAACACCACGGCTTAGTCTCCTCACCATCTTTTTCGACATACCCAGCCCCAGGTCAGGGTGCTCCTTCTCGCCAAAAGTGCCGACTCGGTAGGCAGGTCTTTGTCTTGATGACGCAACCTGCCCGTCTGCGAGCTCGGCGTCGGTGAAGCCGAAGAAGGCGTAGACGTTGGCTGCTTTGTCGGTGGGCACGATGGTGATGAACCCCATGTTGCTCCAGCCCCCGTTTAGGGAAAGGTTGTCTCCGCATTTTGCTTCGGCAAAGTCGGTTTGGTACGCGGGTTTGAAGTTACTGGTAGAGTCGACGGTCCAGTTGCAGGTGATGAAATCGGATTCCGGACCTGGGACGAGGACGAGGTGGTAGGTGCAGGAGCTGCCTTCAGGGGTACAGGTGCGGGCGAGGGACCAGGCTGTCCACTGGCCGACTATCTCTGCTGCTCCTAGGGAGGCTAGAGAGAGGGGAAGGAAAGCTTTGCTGTGACGCATGGTGCTGTGGTGTTGCTTTTCTTGTTGGTGATCTGAGTGCGGTGTTGATTTACTGTGGGAGACATGTTAGCAACGGGCATTTTATACCCATCGTCGACGACAGAAGAGACTGATTTACCACGTTGAGGCCGTCATAGTCTTCCTCAGCGCCGGAGATATTCTCGTGTCGACAACGGATGTAACGGCCCTGGTGGAGCAAACAGGCACACTGCCTTTAGTTTGGATCGCATCCTTGCATCATGTAGTGTGATTGTTGAAGCTCGGCTGACTTTTCTCATGGGCCTGGTCAGACGTAGAACCGTTGGAATGTCTCGCGTGCTGTCCAAGAACAGGAACCCCTTTGCTGGTTGCCTCTGCCGCTCTGTGTCCTCGATGATGTGATATTGAGTGTGGCAAAATAGTGACGATATAGGCCTTCCATCCAAGACAGTGGAGAAGTATGCCAGTTCTCCCATGGTACAAGATCTGATTCATTGTCTTGTCTTATTTCTCCTGACTGTCTGTAACCGTGTCCAAGCCTATCTGGCCCGCTTTTCAAAATACACGTAATCCCAGCGGTGAGACCAAATGGTATACTGTAGATTCTTGATTCGGCTGTCTCGATCCAAGTCAGGGTGTTGATCAGCTCGTGGCTACCCGCGTTTTGGGTAGAGACTCGTGGCGAGGCTTCAAGCCGTCTGCTGTGTACAAGGCTTATGCCTTCATTGTCAAAATGTTTGCTCTCGAATCCTAGCCTGGTAGATGATAGTTCGTCTCGCCAAGTCTGATTGATATTGCTGTGATCGTGATCCTGTTCAGAGTCAGTAGGACGACAATGGCTGTGTAATCTTGTTAACAATCGGTGTCGTTGTGACCGGTCAGCTGGAAACTTTGACATTCGCGAAACTTCTGGTTGCCGGGCGGCGTATCACGATGTTTATATCTCCAGATTACGTACGCCTGGCACTTCTCCTCACCGGCAAGGCTCCAGACCGCATTACAAACGGAGAAAATAACCTGTTTGTGGCTTGACGTGGCTGTCATGGCACTGTTTGCGTTCACATACCAAGTTTGCTGCCATCTGTAGTCGTATAAGGACCGCAGTCAACAGACCTGGTGATCATTTCTGAACAGCAAACGGCCATCAATAGGAGTAGATGCTCGAAATTGCTGGGAGGCTGACTGCACTGCAGGAAACACAGCAGCAATTTGCTTTAGGTCCGGATGCGCAGTATCACTGACTCAGTCTGCGCTCCTCAGTCTGTGGCAGATAGAATCCCCCGCCAGGAAACCTGCTGATCCCCTTTTCTCCTTCGGCAGAGAAGAGAAAGTCAGGTCTTGGATGGCGTCGCACACGGTGTTGACACCTCTGAGTGCAGCTGCAAGGGTCCTTTCAGAGTGGTGGCTTGGAATCTGGCATGATGATCAGTGGCAGCTTCAGGTTCTAGACCTACGGGAGAAGAATTGCTCCTCCAAAATCATGGTCAGTCAGCTTCCCTTCTAGCGGCTATCATCTAGCCAAGTGGCAACCTTCAACAGTTGTGAGTCTGCCAGGTGATCTTTTCAACATTCGGTGTGTCGTTAATGTTCTCGACAAGACCGACGGCGGCCGCATGGCGTTCTCGTGGTGGTGGCCCTCTCTTCCAGGACGGGTGCGCCTCTGAACGGTTTCGGCAATCCTCCCCCGTCGGGAGAACTGCGCGGACCCGGCACGGCGGTTCCAAGCGCCGGAGGGCCACCTCTCTGCTGCTGGGCGAAGCGATCATCACACTCCAGTCGACACCACCTGCCCCTCCATTTTCATTTTGTCATGCGGAGAATCCTGGTAGGGACTGGCCATATTCAACCCACGTCGCTGGGAATGAGTACTATATTGCCTTTATGCTGTTGGTCCTGATGTTGTTTGCTTCGGGTCTTGTGAGTGGGTGGGTGAATGTCCTGCATCAAAAAATATGCCCCTGGTTGGAAAAAGATTGAGAAAAAGCCTAGCGTACGATAAGGTTGGTGATCACCGGGGGTGTACACACCTGCCAAGCTTTGTCTTGGGCAAAGCCAAGCGATGCCTCCCGTTGCTAGCTCTCTTGCTCCTCTTCCTAGCTCTTCTCGGCCGTTCAACGAGTCCAACAACATGGGATGATTTTCCGCGGGAGAAGACCAGCTCAACAGTTTGGAAGCTTGTTTCCCAGTACCACTCAACTATCTCTCCCGGTTGGTCAACCTCGCCCTCTCTCCCCAGCTCTGGCTTCCACTGGCTGTCATTGGACTGCCAGGTCCGACGGCTACCCTCCCTCTTCTTCGAGCCTGGGGAAAAACACCGGTAGATCCTCGCAGGACGACAAGAAATGTTTCGCTTGTCTGGCCATTCAGCATTGTCCGGGACTATCCGTCAGCAGTTTTACGCGCCCGTGAAACAAATCTGACCGTGGCGCCATTGGCCAGTCGGTGGTTGCATCGACCCTCCCACACTGCCTGTCGGTTTCCTCCTCCCTGTGCTTGTCGTGATTGGGTCGTCGCCCTGGCCCCCAAGCCCGATAGACGGACGACACGGCTTTCCGAGCGAGGTCCTCGAGGCTGCCAACGACCCAGTGCGTCGAGTGTGAGGTCTCATCTGGGTACAATCCAAGGAAAAGGTGAGCAATTCAGGATGAGGAACAAGGTCAGAGATGGCATGTTCAGCGAGCTTCTCTCTGGCTCATGTTGAGTGATGGAACCGCTGTAAGGTCTGTGGATGGCCAGTCGCCTGCGTGTAAGTTGGACGGTGCTACTTTCTGGTGTTTACTCACTGTCAAGTAATTGTACTGTGCTACCGACCAGGCCTACAATCGGTGGCGAGCAAAGACCAACTGCATGAGCAGGGCTAGGTAATCTGTATTGGCCATCTCCCCCACCATCTCAAGTGAGGTATACTAACCATGTCCAGCCCAGTGGCTGCTTTTCTTTTCAAGCCTTGCTTTCTTCCTCTCTCTTGCAGGATTCACGCCTGATATATCCCCGATCCTATGTCCTCTATTTTGGGACTGCCGGGTGAAGGAGAGTTGAGTTAGTTGCCTCTACGAATAGAACAGGCTGCTTGGTCACGAGCAGTTTATTCTATGAATATGGCGTCCCATATCCGGCAACGGGACGCCGAGCCCAGTACCAGCCTCACTCCTGGAGCCATAGCAGGAATCGCCTGCGGATCCGGAGCCATCTTTATCGGCGCGGCCGGCCTCTTCATTCTCTACTGGAGACGAAACCGCCAATATGACCGAGAAGACGACCTCTACCGAACCGACTCCGATGAGGATGTCTCCCGCGGTGGTGCCATCCCCGCGGTGTCATATACACTCGACTACAAAATCCACAGCCCCCAACAACAACAACAACAAAAACAACAACAACACCAACATCACAAAGCCAGCAGCTCTCACAGCTACTCCCCCGAAAAGGCCGCCTACCCTTTCTCCCCGTTAAGCACCAACTCCAGCTCCGGACCCGGCAGCGCAATGCCCACTCACCCAGCCTACATCCCTAGGGCTATGGTCCGCGGCATGCCAGTATCAAGCAATTCTTCTCCCCAACCAACACCACCGTCCAACCCTCCTCAACAAGAACCCCTTCCCCATTTCACCTTCCCCAAAGAACCCGAAAACCCAACCCCCCGATCCCAACGCCCCTCCCCTTTAAACCTCAACACCACCTCCCCCTCCTTGCCGTCAACCCGTAAACAACCCCCCAAACTGCTCCTCTCCACCTCCAACTCCAACCCCCTCCCCGGAAAACAAAACGCCACCATCTCCGGCCCCTTGGCATTTCCCTCCCACTACCAACCCCCTCCTAACCTCCCCTCTCCCCCGCAAAAACACCCCAAACCCAAGAGGATCCGCAACCCCCACGATCAAATCTACGACGATGATTCCTCATCAGGTGAAGACGACAATATCCACCCCAAAGAAATGGAAAGTTACGAGGAGAGCGACATCCAGTATTACCACCAGCATCACCACTACCACCACCAAGAAAAACGGACTTTTAGGGAGAGGTCGTTGTCTGGTTCAGGGGGAGGATCGCAGCCCAGCTCGGGGGGGTTACCACCACACGAACAGGGGAAGAAGAGCAGAAGAAAACGCTTCTCGGGCGGATCATCGTCTCAGCCGGCACAGCAGCCGGCACAGCAGCAAAGGGGGAATAGACATTATGCCGAGATTGAGATTGGGAGGGGGAGTGATATTTGGTAGTTTTTCTCTCATCATGAAATTTCTTTTGTAAAGGGTAAATGGTTGGACAAGGTTGGTAGGGCGTTCAAGGCCAGGTTATGGAATTGGGTCAAGAATGGGATGGGTTGGGCTTTCTAGCTGGACTGGGGAGTTCGAATGGTTTTTTAACATGTGATGGGGAGAGAATATACAAATCATTACACACACATGATTGTCTGCAGATTATATGGCTGGGGGTAGGGTTGTTAGATCTTGCCTGACATGATTGGATATGAAATAAACCCTTGAATGTCGGTCGTTTGGTAAACACCTAACCACTGCTCACTTGTCTTACTGAAAAATATCTGGACCAATCACCAACTGTGCATACACTGCTACACTATCCTTTTGTAAACGCATATACCGTTTCAGAACCTCATTGACAAAGATGTTTTTCTCAGTTAAATTCAAATCCTACCTTGAACACATTGATATCATTTCATCCCAAGCCCCAAAGAGACTGACTCAACCCCCCACCTCCTACAAAACAGGACAGCCCCATCATGACAACGACACCCCTCAGCCCCACCCATCTCAACTCCCCGTGATACCCCCCCATTCTCCCCATGATGACCAGGCGGCAAGCTCAAATCCAAATGACTCAAACTCGCCAAACTAATCGCATCATACCCCCCCTCCCGCCCCCCTCTCACCTCTTGTTGTCATCCCCCTCAAAAACCCCGGCTCAACCACCGGCGCCACCCTCCCCCTCCCTTCCCTATCCCCAACCCCCATCTCCTGATCATCCACAAGAACCACCATCCAAACCCCCACCCTCCCATTACTCCCCACCAGCGGCGTACAATGTACCCACCTCGTCCTCCCCTCCGCTGACCTCGTCAACCACCTCACCTTTGCCGTGACAACAACCCCCCCCTCCTTAAACCCTTGCTCCAACTCCTGCCTTACCCTGTCAGACCCGCCAATGCAAGAGAGAACAGGTGTTTGGAGGATCCCTGGGAGACGGAGGGAAGGTGACGCGAAAAGAGTGCGGAGGGAGGGGTAGGGGCGGAGGAGGAGGCAGTTGGAGTAGATCCCCGTTAGCTTACCCCCCGACAGGTCAGACAGCTCTTCCATGTCGGCTGAGAGGGGGGATTGGAAGAGGGGTCGGGGGATGGGGTTGTCGTCGGGTTTGGCCCAGTTGGATGTTTCGTCCTCGTGGGCGGGGGAGTGACGGCCGCCGCCGTGGTTGCGGACAATTTCGATTTCTGGGGCGGTCAACACCTCGGCGAGGTGACGGAGGGCAAGCTGGGGTGAAAAAGGGTTGGTTTCTGGGCTGTTGTCAGAATCTGGGCGCCAATCCTGTACCGCGTTACCCCTTGGCTGTCGAGCAACGGGGCGCACATGAGGAGGTTCATGAACGGGAAGCCGTCTCCGTCTGTAGTTGAGAATGGTTTCGTGATGCTCCTTGCCCGCTGCTAGCTTGTCACGAATCCTGTCGATACTGGCAGGGTTTGTTTTCGGCCCTTGGAGAAAGCGGCAGTTTTCGAGGAGTCTGTTTGTGTCAAGGAAAACACATGAGACTGGGGAGATACGATGTGCCCTGAATCCGCCTCCCATTCTTGACTGGTTGTGCCAGGTTAGGAACCACATTATGGAAGAGAAACCGAAATAAGGAGTGTGGATGTTTACCTGTTTAGGCCCCTCAGCCTACTGGGAATGGGACTGAACCTTCCAGGTTGCCCACAAAGTCTGGAGAATCATTGTTGTGTCTGGAAAGAAGGAAGCGCCCAAGTTTGTTTCCTGGAGATGGCGGGTGCCATCGGAAATGGGCCCGTATATTCTCGCGAGGTGGTCAAGAATCGAGAGGAGCTTCTGGGTGGAATTTCCGGCACATCGCGAGAGAGAGACTTCCGAGATGCTGTCCCCTGTCCTGTCGGCAGTCGGGCTGTTCGTAATGAAACTCTTAGAACAACCGTTGAATCCGCCCAGATGGTAAAGCCCGCCGAACCGGGCCAGAGCCACATGGTAAAGGCAACCGGCTGGAACTGGTCTTTAATCAAAATCTTAAACTCTCGATCGCTATTGAAGGCACACACAGGCTAGAGAGCGTAGCAGCATATAGCTGCCGTTTCATGTCGACGATTTCAATTTACTGACGTTGGTTAGTTCAAACCTACATGCTCTCGACATGAGAATGAATTGGCTTCGCTGGGCACAGCCTCGCACGTGAAGGGAAATCGCCAGTTGCGCAAAGTCAGGCAGTTTCATTACGACCAATATTCCATGCTCAGTGCTCCTTCCCGCTGAACCACCTACCTCAGGCTGATAGATGTATCTGCCTGCATAACGGAACGAACGCCCCTTCTCTCTGTTGTTGCGAAAAAGAGGCAAGAACGAAAGCCAATGACTCGATTCTAACTGTTTGACAGGCACTAGCGAAATAAGGTTCAACGGCTGGGAACATGGATGCGGGTACAAACGTCGAGAGCGCTTGCTCGGCAGATGGAATTGACCGATGGAAACGCTGGAGGGGCTGCATCTCCCATCAGCCAACAGAACCTCTTTTCGGGATCTCTATATGTACGATGATGACTCGGAATCCTCTGGGCCCATGGGACCTGGCAGCAAGCGGCAGAAGGTACAGAGTAAGTATAAGCCTATGCTGCGACGTTGATCAGGTCCAGTCTCACTGTATAACATGTGAACACTCCCGTTTTAGTGGCTGCACAACATCCAGAGTATACCTAGCCCCACTCGACTGGAAACAAACAGAACACCAAACGGTTCATACCTCCCTCCTGGCCCGTCTGCGACCTCCCTTTACGACGATCCACTCGATGGTGTTGACGGTTTGATAACAAGATGGATGCAGGGGTTTAATGAGCACGACACGAACCAGACGCGCGGATGCCCGTCCACGACACGTCCAACGTCGGCCAAGCTTGGAGGCGGGGTTGTGAGTGGCCGGCCCACCCCTCCCGCGAACGGCCTCAGCCACTCAGTCGGAGGATTCCCCCCATCGTGAAAGCTGGGCAGAAACAACAACAACAACATGCCCAATCGAGAGAGAAACGCAAAACAGTCATCGCGAAAGACTCAACAATATTTTCTCTCACCGTACCTCCCCTCTCCGTGTTTACCGTCAGAAGACCTCATCTCCAGTGCCCCACTCCACCATCGCAAAGATTATAGGGAGGGGTTGGTATCATTTGAGTGTGCGCTCACAGAGGGGCACTCGGACCCGTTGAGTGTGAGGTCGAGATGAGGGGTTGTGCTGCTGCGTTGACGATAGCATACAATCATACCTTGCTAAACCAGACCAGGTTGATACTAATAGCCATCCACTGCTATCCCAACCTCCACGGACTATGTGAAGGATATGAATAGGACCTAGTAGCTGAGTGTGGGGTCTACCTACATCATGGGACAACATGCCAGACGAGAGCTTCCAAAAGTTCTATAGGGACGGGGAGACAATGGGGAATCAAGGGCTGGGGCTTGTTTTTAGAGGAAAGCACGTGAATGGCCATGTGGAAACGGTAAAGATTTGGGTGAGCTGTATGCATTCCTGGCGTCGGCTGGCAATTCCAGGGAGGAGAGGAAGCTGGAGATGTTGTTTTAGGCGCCGCCAAGTTTCACAGCGTAGAGACAGCCACAGGCAGCCCAGCGAGGTCACTGCTGTGTTTGGATGGTCCGTGCCCCTCGAGCATTCGAGCAAGGGTCTCGCTTGTTTGGAATCGGCTAATCAACGGCTTAGCGCGACTGTCGCCCGTCGCCTGTTGCCCGCGCTCTCCCGCTTCAGAGGGCTTCCGTCTCTGCCTTCAGAGGGTTGGCCTTCTGTGCTTCGCCAACTTCCATCACCACACACACCTCGAGCTGTCGACGCCATCCCTCCCAACCTCACGGCCTGACGAATGCCTAGCATTATTCCGGTAGCCCTACCTTTGCAGAGGATTGTCTGTCGACTTTAGAGTTTGCGAGATTGTGGTTGTAGCGCTGCCACTTATTCGAGTCTATCGGACACGAGGACCCGCTGTTGTCTCCTATTAAGAGAGCTCCCGTTGCCCAGTCGCCCCGCCGCTCCTTGCGATTGTTGTTCCCCAAGACAAGCAAAGAGACGAGATCGCGACTTCTCCCACAGCAGCACAACAATACCATCGCTCGCCCCACAAAAGCTGTCTATGCGACTATTCACTTTTTGCGAAAACTGTTTCCCCCGCATTTCATCGCTATCCCGCAACAATCGCGCGTTCTTTGTCCTGCGACCGACTCTTCCGACTTCACCTCTCACCACACCCGCCTCTCGTCCGACTCCAATCCAGCCTATGCAAAGCGCGCCTGTCGCCAAACCCGCGCGGCAATCAATTTCTGTGAATTTGGAAAAGGGGCGCTGAGGATCAAAACAAGAGAAGCATGGGTATCAACGGCGACGTTTCAAACGGCGCTGCATTATCTCCCACCATGAAGAGGCCAATCCAGGAGTCACACAGTTCGGCCGCCGCCAGTCCAAGGTTGTCGACGCCTCCCCCGCCAGGGGAACGTCTAAAGGTGGAACCGTCGCATGCCGGAAGCTCGAGAAATGGACGGTCGAGTTCAAGATCCACCGACATTGGACTGGATGCCGTCGACCACGCGCTGCGGCGGGAAATCGGTCGGCAGCACCGAGAAAGCACACCTGGAGCTAGTCCGAGTAGGAAACGGCAAAGGATCAACGGTGACCGGTATGTTGATTTTTTGACTTTTTTTTCATCTGTTCTTGTTGCTGACTGGTCGCTCATAGCTTTATTCCCACGCGGTCTGGCCAAGACCTCCAGGCAAGTTTCAGTCTCTTGCATGAAGATGGGTCGCCCGCGACCCCATCAAGACAAAAGAAGCGGACCCCGCATGGGGAGCTTCACTATCAGAGAAGTGAGTCCCGTGAACTCAACTGGGTGTGCCATGTAGCTAATCCTCGAATGCAGCTGAGGAGGCAAATCGGACATTCTCCCGCCTGCTGCGGACAGAGTTGTTTGAGAATTCGATACCACAGGTGTCACCGCCTTCCATGTCACCAGAGCACAACAGGCTCTCCCACGGCCATGCCACCAGATCACACACCCCACCAAACGGGCCACCACCATCATCTTTGCCATCAAATTTGACACCATCCACACCACACAAGAATCTGTTCTCCTACATGTCGCCTCGTCACAGCATTGCAGGCCATCCAACACCTTCAAGGACGCCACAAAGTCGACACGGGCCCAACTTGGACACCCGGTCCGAAGTGTACAGCTTATCGCCAGTGAGATATGGGAGTCAGCAACTGCTCCTCAGCCCACGGCGACAACCGCGTGCCGTGAGCAAGGTTCCGTATAAGGTGTTGGATGCTCCCGAGCTCGCAGATGACTTTTACCTCAACCTCGTTGACTGGGGCAACGCAAATGTATTAGGCGTCGGCCTGGGATCGAGCGTGTACATGTGGAACGCCCAGACCAGTCGCGTCAACAAGCTCTGCACGTTAGAAGACGACACCGTTACGAGCGTGTCGTGGATACAAAAGGGCACACACATTGCCATCGGAACTGGAAAGGGCCTAGTGCAAATCTGGGATGCGGAGCGGCAGCGAAGGTTGAGGACTATGGTAGGCCACACTAACCGTGTGGGTGCTCTGGCCTGGAACACGCACATCCTCACCTCTGGCTCGCGGGATCGGTCCATATACCACCGTGATGTGCGAGCCCCAGATCCGTGGATGAGGAAGCTAGTCGGGCACAAGCAGGAAGTGTGCGGACTAAAATGGAATTGCGAGGATGGGCAGCTGGCGAGTGGAGGGAACGACAACAAACTAATGGTCTGGGATAAGCTCTCGGACTCGCCACTGTGGAAGTTTTCGGACCACACCGCCGCGGTGAAGGCGATTGCTTGGAGCCCTCACCAACGTGGACTGTTGGCTTCCGGTGGCGGTACGGCCGACCGCCGGATCATTTTCCACGATACGGTGAGGGGGACCGTTGTCAATGAGATTGACACGGGGAGCCAGGTTTGCAACTTGGCGTGGAGCAAGAACTCAAACGAGATTGTCTCGACGCATGGGTACAGCCAGAACCAGATTGTGGTGTGGAAGTACCCGAGCATGACGCAGGTGGCGAGTTTGACGGGGCACACTTATCGGGTGCTGTACCTGGCTATGAGCCCGGACGGGAGGGTGGTGGTCACGGGGGCGGGGGACGAGACGTTGAGGTTTTGGAACGTGTTTGGGAAGAGGGGTGGGAGGATGGGGGTGGATGGGGAGGGGGGCGGGGGAAGTATAAGGTTGCAGGAGTGGGGGGTAATTAGGTGAAAGGGTTAGTGACTTTCACATGCTTTCTTGAGCCAGACGACGAACAAGTGGCTTTTGGAGTTGGGGGCGGGGGAATCAGCGGGAAGAAAGTGTTTATCTTTGCTTGCAGCGAGCAGGAGATGGATTTTTCTCTCTTTTTCTCTCAATTGAGATTTGTTAGTTTCTCCTCCCCTTTTTCCATATATGGAAGGGGCAAGCGACTGACAGGTTTTTTTTAGTGTACACCATGACACGAAACTTACGAGGTGGATGACACACGACGACGACAACACTTGGGGGAGAAACGGAACTCTTTCAATCAAAAGCAAAGGTGTTGGGTGTTTGGTGGTGGTGGTGGTGGTGTTGATGATGATGGTGTCTCTGGTTTGGCTTTGGGTCGGTGGGTCGGTTGGGGTTAAAGGGATCAATCGATCATCATGGATATGGAAGGGGGGATTGATGGATGGAATGGAGCTGGCTGGGTAACATGGGACATCTGGATGGGAGGTGGTGGTCAATACCCGGGGCTCTTTTTGCCATCTTTCTTTCAACAAAGCGGAATTTGTTTATCATGGTTTGGTTGGTGGGAGGAGGTGTTGGGTTATGTCTTCTTTTCTTTTCTTTCTTGCTAGAGTATGAAAGCGGGATTCATGGGTTGTTTATTAATTGACTTTTTTTAAATTGTTATGGCGATTGGTTCATTATTTTTTTTTGGGGGGGGGGGAATAAGCGGGGCTTGTTTGTTGTACATTATTGGAAACCAGGTCATGATTGCGCTTTGTAGCTGGGTGGGTGGGTGGTGTTGATGGTGGTAGGTGGTGTGGTTGCATGAAATGGATTTGCTTCTCATCTCTGCTTTATTATGGAGTCGGTGTGTGTGATTGCGGCAGGAGTCTTTATTCGGCTCGAAGTGAAAGGGTATCTTGCTAGTTTCCATGATCAGATGCTTTTATCCCGAGTTTTTACTGAGCTTGAAATGAACCTGGCCTGTTGTTGCTCTTTTATGTCGAGGGCAACCTCGCTCATCCAAATGATCTTCTCCTAAATCCTTACCCAGTCACGGTCTGGATACAATAGTGGGCAATGCAAGTCAACGCATATCATATTGTAACCTATCTCGGCCCCCCCCCCCCCCCACCCCCCCCCCACGGAAACCGCGAACCAAAAACAGCAGAAAAAAAATTCTTGATAATGGGGGCGGGAGAAACTGGGAAAGTGGAAAGGGGGGAGAAAATAGTTTAGGAAGGCCAAGGTTAAGTAGGGGAGGGGGATGAAAGGAAAAGGAAAGAGTAAGGCAAGGAAAGGGAGGGGTTAGATGAAAGGGGTAGAGCAAAAATTGCAAAAACAACAGGGTGATGAGACAGGGAAAGATGCTAGAACGCACCTTGATGACATAAGACTACTAAGGGGAATGAACCAGCTATCGAGTTTTTATACGGGGGATCCGGCACCCAGACACAAAAAGGGAAAGAGGCACAGAAAACGGCAACCCGAGCGACAACGAACGCAGAGGCCCAGCCGAAGCCGAC